AGCAGTGTATTTTCAGTCGATCTGCCTGTTCTGCTCCTCACTCTGTCTCTGCTGAATCCTCTCACTTCTACCCCACACCTCTGGCCTTTACCCCAGTTTTTTGTGCATAAATCTATTTTTAAAATCTGGTTTAGGCCCAGGGTTGTTTTTTGTTTGTTTTAAAGATTTATTTATTTGTGCATACAGAACTGGGGTACAGGCCAGAGGCTCAGGAGCAGTGAGAGGCTTCACCAGAGTCAGAGTGGGGAGCAGAACAGGCAGATCAACGAAGTACACTGCTGAAGGGAGCAGCGGGCGGGTCAGGAGAGGTCTGCCACGCCATGTTGTCACCTCCGGGGCAAGCAGTAATCGAACTCATGCGGAAGTGGCTTTAGCTTCTCAGTGCTGTGCTTCAACCCGCTGCGCCACCAGGGAGGGCCCTGTTTGTTTGTTTTTTAATTAAAGTCCTGGAAATACTATCAGAGCATGCTATTTCCAACCAATTTTTTCCAAATTATGGGTATTGAAAGTTCTTTATGCTACCTCAGTGTGGAAGCATTGATATTTACTCCCACTTGTCTTTGAGAACATTGCTGAGAGAAAAGTCAGGATAAGGTTTGAAAACAAAAGATAATCTCTCGTCCTGACAGATTATATCAAAGTTTCTTGAAACAAGACTTAAGGTTTGTGCAAGGCTTAAGGACCTTAAATCATGTTGAAGCCATGATTTAAATATAGAAAATTTTATTTTCTAGTGTCACTTTTGTCAGGATCCCAAAATGTAACTATCTGTATTCATTTCTTTATCCTCATGCCCAAATTTAACAATTATCATCAAGCTACTTAATACAGCGCTCAGCATTTACTTGTGTTGATAAGTGAAGAATAACAGGTAAAACATCTCTGGGGGAGTACACTGACTATTACTGCTTACCAGAAGAAATCTAGTATTTAAAGTGGAAATTCAGTTGGCTAGGGTGTGCTTTCCTGATACTGAGGGTTAGCTTATTGCAGTGTTATTTCAAGTGTAAGAATATTTTTCTTCCCTATTATTTTGTGAGGAAAACAATTTACTAAAGCCAGTTTTGAAAAAATAGATTCAACACATTGTAAACTCAAATAGAAATAAACATAGAAACTTGGTTCTCAAAGAAATACAGCACGCTGATTTTGTTTA